CAACTCAGGACACAACTTCATCCCAGGCTCTAAGATCTCAGCTCCCCAGCAATGCCCATGGACTGCCTTTCCTAATCTAAAAGTAAAGCAACAAGTGAACACACATAGCTCACTCCATTTTCTGTTTAAAGGGCCTTTACCAATTCCTGCACATGGGGGAGGATAATTTTAGAGCACTGAGTTAATAATACAAAAACAGCAGTTCATGTAGTTTTTTAAACTAACTCTGAGATCAAAGGAAAAACATGTAAACAGCCAACTATGTTTTGTTAAAGATTCACAGGGGCGTTGAGACCTGACCAAGGACAAAGAAGTTTTCAACCTCCTCAGACGCTTGCTGGCTCCCTGGAGTCTGTGGTCGTGGGTCACCTCTCAATCACGCCTCCCTCCTCTTCCCCTTTCCCTTAACTAAAAAGAGCCTACAATTTGCACTGTATTAAGATGGTCTTGGTGACACTAGTCTGCCATCTCCTCAGGTTGCTGGCTGTTGAATACCCCTGCTTTTCCTCCCACCAACTCTTGTCTCTCGAGTTTGGTTTTCATGCAGCAAGCAGCCGAGCCTGGGTTCAGCTACACGAAGGCATGAACTGGACACAGGACATGGATTGCTTTTCTTTCTTTGGTTTTAGTAATTGTAATGAGTTTCTGCAGCTTCCTGACTGCTTAGCTTATCACGTTAGTTTGCTTTGGCTGCAATAACAAAGTATCTGAACTGGGTGGCTTAACCAACAGAAAGTTGTTTTTCATAATTCCAGAGGCTAGAAGACTAAGACGAAGGTGTTGGGGGTGGTGGTTTCTGCTCAAGCTTCTCTCCTTGGCTTATAGACCACATCACAGCGACACCCTCTGTTTGTGCCTGGGTTCTAATCCCTTTTCCTCCTAGGACACCTGTCATATTGGATTAGGGTCTATCCCAGTGACCTGGTTTCACATTGTTTATCTCTTTAAAGACTCTGTCTTCAAATACAGTAATATTCTGAGGTCCTGGGCTTAGGAGTTCAACACAGAAACTTCTGGGAGACACAACTCACCTATAACACCCATGGTCCTTATAAAATCCCTGATCTCCAGGACCACCCACACTCCTACACTCCCATGCCCAAGGGACACCTGGAAAAGGTTGATACTCTCTGTGCCACTCTGAAAATTAATGGAGATTATTGCTTTCCCCAGAAGGTACTTGTCTCACATCAACATCTTACCCCCAGGGAAAGGACCACTCACTCTCCAGGAACTTCTCCTACTAATCCTCTCCAGGATCCTACCATGACCTTCTGCCCTGCATCTCTAACCATCACAACCACTCTTTTTCCTTGGTTACACACAAATGCCACTAATCCTTACATATACCTTCCTAATTTGCCCATTGTTATCCTCCAAAAACATAATTGATCAACTTGCTACCTTGACACAAGCAACACACCAAGTAGTATTATTCAAATATATGTGTAGTTGTCAAGTGCACTGAAATCGTGTTGTACAAATTCAATGCAATTCCCATCAAAATGCCAACATCATTCTTCACAGAACTAGGAAAAACAGTCCTAAAACTCTTATGGAATCAAAAAAGAGCCCCCATAGCCAAAGCAAGACTAATCAAAAAGAACAAATCTGGAGGCATCACATTACCTTATTTCAAGCTATACTATAAGGCCATAGTCACCAAAACAGCATGGTACTGGTATAAAAGTAGGCACATAGACCAATGGAACAGAATAGAGAACCCAGAAATAAACCCAAATAGTTACAGCCAACTGATCTTCGACAAAGCAAACAAAAACATAAAGTGGGAAAAAGGCACCCTATTCAACAAATGGTGCTGGGATAATTGGCAAGCCACATGCCGGAAAATGAGAATGGGTCCTCGTCTTTCACCTTACACAAAAATCAACTCAAGATAGATCAAAGACTTAAATCTAAGACCTGAAACTATACAAATTCCAGAAGATAACATTGGAAAAACCCTTCTAGACATTGGCTTAGGCAAGGATTTCATGACCAAGAACCCAAAAGCAAATACAATAAACACAAAGATAAATAGCTGGGACTTAATTAAACTAAAGAGCTGTTGTACTGCAAAAGGAACAGTCAGCAGAGTAAACAGGCAACCCACAGAGTGGAGAAAACCCTCACAATCTATACATCTGACAAAGGACTAATATCTGGAATCTATAGTCAACTCAAACAAATTAGCAAGAAAGAAACAAACCAACCCGTCAAAAAGTGGGCTAAGGACACGAATAGACAATTCTCAAAAGAAGATATACAAATGGCCAACAAACATAAGAAAAAATGCTCAACATCACTAATGATCAGGGAAATGCAAATCAAAACCACAATGCGATACCATCTTACTCCTGCAAGAATGGTCATAATCAAAAAATAGAAAAAATAGATGTTGACATGGATGCAATGAACAGGGAACACTTCTAACTACCGGTGGGCGTGTAAACTAGTACAGCCACTGTGGAAAACAGTGTGGAGATTTCCTAAAGAACTAAAAGTAGAACTACCATTTGATCCAGCAATCCCATTACTGGGTATCCACTCAAAAGAAAAGAAGTCATTATACAAGAAAGATACTTGCACACGCATGTTTACAGCAGTACAATTTGGAAGTGCAAAAATGTGGAACCAACCCAAACACCCATCAATCAACGAGTGGATAAAGAAACTGTGCATATATATATATATAGGAATACTGCTCAACCATAAAAAAGAATGAAGTCATAGCATTCACAGTGATCTGGAATTATGCTAAGTGAAGTAACTCTGGAATGGGAAACCAAGCATCGTATGTTCTCACTCATAAGTTGGGGCCAAGCTATGAGAATGCAAAGGCGTAAGAATGATACAATGGACTTTGGGAACTCAGGGAGAAAGGGTGGGAAAAGGGTGAGGGATAAAAGACTACAAATAGTGTGCAATGTATACTGCTCGGGTGATGGCTGCACCAAAATCGCACAAATCACCACTAAAGAACTTACTCTTGTAACCAAACACTACCTGTTCCCCAATAACCTATGGAAATAAAAGCAATTTTAATGAAATAAAATAAAATCATGTTGTACATATGAATATATACATAATCACACTTTTAAATACACTTTGCAACCCCACCCAGATACTGTTAGAGACTCTGGAAATTTCAGATCTACTTCATTGGCTAATAGCATATTCACGGAGAGCCGAACTATGGATCTATAGGATTTGTAGGTAGCCGAGCTACGGACCACCTACAAAGATCCCCTGTGCTTCGTGCTCCCTCCTTCTACTCACATGTCTATTTAAAGTCTTCCTGCTGTTTAGGGCATCTGACACCCTGCTCTGTAATGTCTCATCTCTCATGACCCTAGCGCTTTCTCAATATGGCATCCAAGCATCACCAGGCCAATCATGTAATCATCGTTTTTATTTTCTGTGCTTCTGATGCCTTTCTGGGCTTGCATCCTGGAAAGGATGCCCTACCAGGGCTGGCCAATTACTACAGATGGTCAAGGTCCCCCCAGTGAATGCCTTTCCTGTGAAGTCTCACCAGGGCAAGCCCTGTGCCAGCCACCTTCTCCATGGGGCTTGCACACTCCAGGCCACAGTTCCCCTGCACAGATGCCCCCAGAGTCAGGCACCAGACAGCCAGCAACAATCCCCATGACTCGGAACCCTGGGTAATCATGCAAAGCAATCAGTCCCAAGCCTGCCTACCCTGCTTTCACTGGTTCCTCCCCCAGGAAGAACTAAACCTCTGCCTCCAGATTGACCCGGATGCTTGCAATGTGGTCATGATGGCAAGAACAGCCCCTGCCACTGCACGCTGTCAGTAGCAGACTGTTTTTCAACCACAGTAGTCTCCTGGCCTGTGGGTCTCACCACAACTGAGTAAGAATTAAGCCTACATTTAAAAACCACAAAAAGTTACGTATGGAACAGAGTTGCCTGGAATTACAGACACAGACATGCACACACACACATGCACACGCAGGCACACATTTCACTGCTAAGTTCTGAATAAACTCAGTGAATCGTGCCACTGTCAATTTCCTGTTTTGAAGACTGTTCTATATAAATGCAAGCTGCTGACAGTGGAAGGCTGTGTGAAGGGTGTGGGGGACCCATCTCTATATATATGTCAACAAATTGGAATGTATCTATAATAATTTTGAGATAAAAGGCTTTAAAATATTTTTCCAAGGTTTATTTTAGGATCCCATGATCTGGTGCTGACTAGGGAGTTGGACGGGTATCTGTGAGAGCCCCATAAACAAGAAAGCCAACTCTGAGGTGTGCACCTCGCTCCTCCCTTATTCCTTTCCCAGGCTGCGCTGCATTGCCAAGGGAGGGGAAGCGACCTGCAGTCACAGGGTGACTGGCCTGAGGCCCTGAGTCCCAGAACTACTAAACACACCTGGAATGATAACCTAAGTATTTCCCCCTCCAAGGGGAAACAAATGCTCTGATCCTCATCAGCCACCATGAACTGGCTGCTGAGATCTTTGCCCCAGTGAAAGTCCCAGGGGATAAAGAGGATCTGGCTGGGCGCTTCCTCTCCCTGCACGGGAGAACTGTGGAGTGGCCAGTTCAGGAGGGGTCAACTCTCTCTGCTGGATTAGGAGCACATGAGGCCCAAGGCAGGTTCATGTTGGGAACTGCAGCCTCCCTGTGCCCACCCCAGGTCGTGGCACGTGGCATGGCTCCGTATCAACCAGAGGAATGAGTGAATAAAAGGCATCTGAGTCCTTGTTGGCCCAATCCTGTCTCTCCTGTTCCCAGAAACATTTCTGGAACCACACCCAAGATTCCCACCCCACATGACCCTTCCATCTCCTCACAGCATCCTCAGGACCTTCCCCAGGGGACAGCACGGGAAGCAGAGGACCCAACACTCGCTGCTGGAACGAGGTCTGGTCCATGAAAGATGAGGCCTGGGGCATGAGGTTGACACGATCAGCTGGGGAACACACGTCCCTCGAGACTCAGTTGTATCACTTGAAAGTGGGGATGTGTCAGGACAAGTGACCACAGGGGCCTTTTTACTCTACCCTGCAGGACCCTGTTCCAGGGTGACAACTTTCAGAGAGCTCAGGGCATGCTCGAGCTGCCTGGGAGGCAGGCTGCAGGAGGGAGCTTGACTGCACTCTGAGGTGCTGGGATCCCGCTTAATGACTCTGACACAGTCTGCACAGAGGCCGTGGCCAGGGGAGAGGAACAGGGACATGTGAGAGTAGGCAGGAGGGCAAGGGACAGAATCACAGTGCCCTTGCATGGCCACACAAGGAGCCTGGAGCCAGCGTTGGGAGGGGTAGAGTCAAGCTGTCCAGAGGGCACTGCTTGCTGGAGAAGGGGCCAGGTGGGGCTGGGGACAAGGCCAGGCCCAGCCAGCAAGATCATCCCCAGCTGTGCCCTGGCCTTGCTGTTTGGTAAAGCTGGAAAGCCCCAGTCCTGCAGGCCCTGGGGAGTTCCATTTATGCAGGAGCTGGCTGGACAGAGGGGTGACTCAGGAAGCTGTGCACGTGGGAGAGAAGAAGGGTGGCCTGGGGTCAGGCAGAGGAAGGCTGGTGGCCAGGCTGGGACCCTGGGTGCAGAGGCGCGACTAGTTGATCGCTCTGAAAGTGAGGAGGGGGAACGTGCCGGGCCTCAGTATGAAGCTGTAGACCATCTTTATATCCTCTTTGGTTAGTGTCTCCACCAGGAAGTGTTTCAGCACCTAGGACAGAGGCTGGGTTTCCATCTGGCCTGGTCAGCAGCCCATGGACCTGGGGCAGCTTCCTCCCATCCTCCCAGGTGCAGCAATTATGCTGAAGGGGGAGCAGCAGCCTGGGCCCCAACCTGTCCCATTCCTGACCAGCCCCACCTTACAGACCAGGCCCAGACTGAATCCTACCCAGGTCTTGCCCAAGCCCCATTATCCTGTACAGGCTCCACCCCACTCCCCTAGTCCCCACCTCACTGTTTAGAAGTAACCTCACCCAGATCCTACACTGTCTTGATCAGCACAGACCCTCCCTGGTCACGCCGACCTCAACCAGCCAAGGCCCCATCCGGTTCCCAGATGTCAATCACACCATGCAAGCCCCGCCCCCAGGGTGCAGGCCCCGCCTCTGCTGCCCAGGTCCCGCCCCCGCCCCCGCCCCCGGCCTGCTCACATGGTGCAGCAGCAGCAGCATCTCCGTTTCTGCCAGGCGCCGCCCCAGGCACTGGCGCATGCCAAAGCCAAAGGGCACGTTGTGGAAGTTCTTTCCAGAGCCCCTGATGTCTAGCCAGCGCTGGGGATTGTAGCGCTCAGGCCTCGGGAACAAGGCGGGGTTGCGACCCAGCGAGTAGAGGAAAACCTGCACCAGTGTCTGCGGACGGTGCAGAGCGGGGATCAGGGAATGATTGGGGAGGGAGGTTCTCAGCTGGAGGGGTGTGGGGCTCACTCACCCCGGCTGGGATGTGGTAGTTCTGAAGCACCAAGTCTGAGCTCACCACTCGCTCCAAAAACAGACCCACAGGGTAGAGCCTGGAGGTGGGGGCATCCACAGAAAGGGTCCTCAGCTGGACGGGGCTTCCCGTGCCCTCTGCAGCCTTCCTACCCAAGACCCCGCTAGAAGTCCCTGGCCCACGGGAAGCCCAGGTCTTGAGGAAGTGCTTCCTTGCACCTGCTGAGTCCGGCCAAACCTCCCCTAACTTGAGCAGCCCCAAGCCCAGAAGGACATGCCCCACGTTAATTCCAGGGCATTGAAGAGAGATTGCAGAGGAATAAGAGCTCCCTGTCCTTGAGGGAGAGGAAGAGCAGGTTCAGGGGGAATGGGCTGCTGGGTGACGCTGCTTATCAGCCCAGCTTCTGTCTGCCACCACCCAGTGGGGGCTGCTCTCCAGCAGGGGCCAGGGCCACAGGGAAGGCTCAGCTAGCACCCACCTCAAGGTCTCCTTGAGGGCCGCCCGCAGCAAGGGCAGCTCGGTGGTTGCCTTCTGAGGATGTTCACTGATGCTGGCGGCGGCGGCCAGGCTCTCCTGGCGCAGGGCCTGCTGCACGTCGGGGTTCCGAGCCAGCTCAAAGAGTGTCATCAGCAAGGGAAACGCCGTCTGCAGGAGCCACAGCTGCAGGGTCAGACCTTGCACAGGAGGACTCAGCCCCCGGGACACCCCTCCCAGGACAACCTCCCTGTGAGGGGTGGAGACATGCATGCCCTGAGCATGACAGAGCCCTGGGACCCTGGATCTGAAACCTTGATGACCACTTGGGCCAGTTTCCCTGACTTCTTCAGGGAAAGGTGACCCCCATCTCCACCAAGGCCCAGGTTCCCTGCAGCCTCTTCAGGGTGGGTTCTCACAGCCACCATTAGGGCAGGGGGGCCAAACCTCAGCATCATCCAGGGAGTCCTGGAGCCCCAGCTCCCTCTGCTTCCATTGGATCCTCCCCACGGGGCACCCACAGTCCCCTCTGCACTGGCTGGAGCCTGTGCTGCTGTCTTCCTCACAACCCTGCCCTCCCATGGATCTCCTTTTCTGGCCCCAGGTGACCAGGCACACTGGGAAGGGTGCCTGTGGAGTCCTCCAGCCACCTCTCATCCCTCCTTCTCCTCGTACACCCAGAGCTTTCCAATGGGGACTGAGCTGCTGTGTGTCCAGGGCCTCGTCCAGCTGTCTTCCAGCCTGGAGCACATTTCCCCACACAGGTAACTGCAAACTCTGTCTCCTGTGAGGGGGAGCTCCAATTTCCCCTCCCCTGCAAATCTCATTCCTTAATAAATGGAGGGGAAAGGCTGAGGGCAACAGAAATGTAGGGCCCGTAGCCTGGGGATGGGGCATGTGGGTGCTGTGTGGCATTGGCAGGCACTGCCTGGGAGGCAGGCTTGGCATCACCCTCTCTGGGTGGGGCTGGTTGCCGGCCTGACCGTGTCCACGCTCCCTGCAGTGAGTTCCATAGAGTTGGCCTTGATGGCTTCTAGTGACAGTTCTGCATTCAACAGGAGTTCCGCCACGATGCCTGTATAGTGCTGAGGGCGGCTGAAGGCCAGTTCCTGATAGATTTTCTGGATACAGTTGTCGCCTGTCCGGGGAGCGGGACACAGGCCTCAGTCCTTGGTGCTGGGAAGCGTCCTTCAGTGTCCTCCTCCTGCCCAGGCTGCCCCAATACCCAAGTCTCCCTGCTCTCATCCCAAATTCTCCGGATCAGCCCAGCCCAGCCCAGCCCCAGCCTCACTCCCAATCTCCCTGGCAGGAAGGTGAGGAATCCCCAGCCCCTCCCTGTGGCCTCCATTCCCCGCTGGGTGGTGGAGTGGAACAAATTGGGCCCCCATGGTGTCCCTTCTCCATAGCACTGCCTGGGTCCCTGGCCTCACCGTACTGGAAGATGCAGTCCCAGGCCTCAAAATGCTCCTTCCACACCTTGGGACTGGTCCAGCGAGACAGGCTCCTGGGCATGAACATGAGCTGGACGGTGGATTTGAACATGACCTCCAGGGCATGGAGGAAGCTCAGGGTGGCAGAGCTGGGGCTGTGACCAACCAGGCCCAGCCGCTCTCCAAAAAGAGCTAAGTTGCTGGCTGCGGGGAGGATGAACTGCTGAGCACAAGGAAGCCCCGGGCCTCCGGGCTGCCTCCCCCCACTCCCTCCAGCCCCCCGTCCCCGTCCCTGGCCACTCCAGGGTCTCTGAGGCTGGACCTTCCCACCTGGCCCACACCTTCTATGGTGTAGTGGAAGATGCTGGGCTGGACGTCCAGGGTCACGCTGTCCCGGGCGTTCTGCAGCACCTTATTCCTCAGGGCCTGGGAGAAGTCCCTGGCCACCGCATCCACCATCGGGAGGAACCTCTGCACAGCCTTGGGCGACAGCACATCTGGGTTCAGCCGCAATCGATTGAAGCGCCATTCAGGCCCATTCCTACAGAGGCCAGGGCAGAGCTTGTGAGGCCGCCCCAGCAAGACACAGGCCCTGACCCGTATCCCATCCTCCTTGTCCCTGAGGGGAATCGGCCTGCAGAGAGCTGACTGGGGGCCCTGGTGGAAGCTGCCTGTTTGTGTTCGAGCTGCAGCCTTTTCTCAGAGCGGCCTCCAGGTGCTGGGCAAAGGCCACTCAGGTCCAATCAGGGATGAGACGGTAGTTTCTGCCCGCAGGTGCTGAGGAGGTAACAGGTCATTCCTGGGACCTGGCACCCCAAGGCTGGCACCACCTCACCCATGCAGGCCCTCCCTGTAGTGGGGGGGAGGGCTTTTCTCCTAAGGAGGAGGTGATCTCTGGTATCAAGCTTTGCCCATCTCGCCCACACAGTGTTCGAGGGGAGAGCCCCTCGCTGCCCTCTCCTCCCCGCCCTTCCCTGTCCTGGGCACAGTGCCTCTGAGGCAGCAGTCTCTGCCTGTCTCTGTGAAGCATCTGCATCTTCTGCAGGCCAGGAACCGAGCTCTGTGCCTCATGCCATCCTCACCCACAGCCAGAGTGTGTTGGGGCTCCATGGATGCCCCCATGGAATGGTGGGGAGGAATTTCCTCTCTCAGCCACATTCCTGCAAAACTCCTTTATTTATGTCCAGCCGGCTGCTGTCCGAGTTGACAGTGATGACAGACAGAAGATGCACATGTACACGTGTGCCCGTGCAAGACCTCAACACACATGTGTGAAGAGACACATGTACACGTGTGCACAGACACTACACCCATGCCGGCACCTGCACATGCACACACACAGACACCCGTGCACACACACCACACCTCATACATGCACACACCCAGACACGTGTACACGCACATGCGCACACACAGACACCCATGCACACACACCACACCTCATACATGCACACACCCAGACACGTGTACATGCACATGCGCACACACAGACACCCGTGCACACACACCACACCTCATACATGCACACACCCAGACACGTGTACACGCACATGCGCACACACAGACACCCGTGCACACACACCACACCTCATACATGCACACACCCAGACACGTGTACACGCACATGCACACACAGAGACAGCCGTGCACACACACCACACATCATACATGCACACACAGACACTTGTACACGCACATGCACACATGTGCAAATGCAGGTGCAGAGGAACACACAGCATGTGCACAGATGCGAGACACGCACACACACCGGAGCACTCTCCTTCCTTCTGTTATGCGCACACAGCCTCCTGGACCTGCCTTCCTGGGTCCTGACTCCCACCCAGATGTCGTCTGTCGGCCAGCCTCAGTGAAGGCCCTGAACCACAGGTGCCCTTTTACCTAAATCCCGCTATTCCCAAGAGAATTCCTTTCCCGCCATGGAGTGGGGGCTGTCGCCACTGTGACATCCTCGTCCAGTCCTTCCCCCATCATAATGGCAACATCCCTGCAGGTGACCGACTCCAAGCACCAGCCTCTCCCTGTCCACCTGACCAGGCGCCACCCTCTCCACGGGCCAGGAAACATCCTCCCCAGTGTCACCAACTGCCCCACCTCGTGCCTTGCTTCTGAGAACAATGGAGCCACCAGCCACCTGCGTCCCCACCTGCCTCCTGCCCAGGACTGTCCCCATCACGAAGGTTTACCGGGACTATAGGGACCATGAGCGCCGTGAGGGAGGCTGCGGCCCTGGTCAACACCAGGCTCAGCGCTCACAGCCTGTGACCTGGGCCAGTGGGAGTCCCCTTCTCAGGACCCCAGTTTTCTGACCTGTGGGAAGGAGAGTCCCCAGACCGCAAGAGAAAGAAGCCGCCGAGGTCGGTGCAGAGCGGGTTCTCGCTACACAGAAGGGCTCATTGCTCTGCGTTCTCTCCTCTGCAAAGGTGCCCGTGCCCATTTCTCCACCACTGTCCTGCTTCCCCTAGTTGCAGGGCAGACTTGACCCCACGGGATGGCCATCCTCCGGGCTGGGTGCTCACCCTCACAGCCCACCACACAGGCTCAGAGTGGATGTGCTTTCGGGTCCTGCCTCTTTCACCTCCCCACCACACCCAGGCTGCCCACCCTGCTCCCAGATCCCAGCTCGCCCCTCACAGCAAGAACACGCCACATTTGTGCCCACGATGTTGTCTGTAGGCCACCCAGGGCTCCAGGCTCATCCTGTGGGGATGTAGGCTGTCCACCTGCTGTAGCTTCTCTACGTCTTCCGGCAGCATCACACACACCATTCGTGGTCCTCCCAAGTGGTATCTATGGGGCCAAGCACAAGGCCCTGCTGGATGGGGTCATGTCTCCCCGGCCGCACTCTGCATTCCCAATCCAAAGTGTCTCCTGTCCACCCATCCCGCTCCGGGATTAGCAGCTTCACAGCTGAAGCCCTCCTGCTGGCTCCTCGGAAGGTCTCAACTTTAGTGCCTCTGAGTCCTGCCCTCTCTGCAGCGAGCTGGGGTTTGCTCTGCACCATCCCCTGCACTGGCAGAGCCACAGACCAGCACATGCAGCACTCCCTCCCCATCCTCCAAAGGATGCAGAGTGCCGGGGCCTGCTGGGAACAGCAGTGCTGTGTGCCCGGCAGGGTCCTGGGCAGCAGGGGCAGGGCTCTGGGTGTTCCCAGCGAGGGCCAGGGAGGGCTTTACCTGAAAATGGGCCCCAGTTCCTGGAAGGTCTGATGTACCTCCAGGTGCAGGTGCTCATAACCCTGCTCCCTCCAGATCTGCAGCAGCCTCAGCCACCTGTTGCCTGGACGCTGGGGTATGGCTTCAAAGGGCAGCACCGTACTAGGGGCCCGGGCGGCTCTGGTGCTTAGTGCCTGTGCCCTTTGCAGGGACAGCCAGGGCGCTGCCATGCACACCTCTGCCTTTGCTCTGAGTGCCATTCCAATGCTCCCTCCACCCTGTTCAGCCCAAATCCTTTTATCTCACCCGGGAACCTGCCCTGGAAACAGATCACGTCATGGGAGAACTGGCTCTGGACCTGCCTGAAACTCTCAGAGCGAAGGTCAAGGCTGGAGGCCCCCAGCCAAAGGTAGATGAAGGAGAAGTCAGGTGCCTAATCCACTATTGCTGCAAGTCCTGCTGGTCTGAGGATGCTGAGAAGATGCGTGGGGTCTGGACAGGGGTCTATGCTGGTGGCAGGTGGTGGGACATGGCCTCTCCTTTCTCCAGGACTGAAAGGAGCAAAATGGATGGGGACTTTATCTTATCGTGAGATGAGAGGGGGCCTTGGATTCTTTTAATAGACTTTATTTTTATACCACAGATTTAGTTCATTGCAAACTTGATCCAAAACTGCAGAAAATTTCCATGTAGCCCCTGCCCTGACACAGGCACATCCTGCACCACAGGAGCACGCTGGTTCCATGTGAGGAATCTGGATACGCTGTTATCAACCAGGGTCCTGGATTGACATGGGGTCTCCTCCTGGTGGTGAACATTCTGTGGGTTTTGACAAATGGTTTGTGATTTGTATCCCTCCTTGCAGGATTCTACGAGTGTTTTCACTGCCTTAAAAAGAGGGAAGGAAAACCCATGCTCTGGCTGCTCACCCATCCTGCCCCAGCCTCTGGCATCTCCGATCTTTTCATCATCACCATGCTTTTGCCTTTTCCAAAATGTTGTATAGTTGGAATGACACAGTTTGTAGCCTTTTCAAAGTGACTTATCTCAGTTAGTGATATGCATTTCAGGTTCCTCCATTTCTTTTCATGGCTTAATAGCTCATTTCCTTTTTTTTTTTTTTTTTCCCTAGAGGCTGGGTCTCACTTCTTTAGTGCTTGCCTTAGAGTTTGCAATATACACTTAAAATTCATCCTCCAAGTCCACTTTCATATAACACTATACAGCTTCAGAGGTAACGCAAGCACTTTACAATCATCAGATATTCTTAAGCAGGGCATAGTTGCTCATGTCTGTCATCCCAGCACTTTGGGAGGCTGATACAGGTGGATCACCTGAGGTCAGGAGCTGGAGACCATCCTGGCCAACATGACGAAACCCTGTCTCTACTAAAAATACAAAATTAGCCAGGTGTGGTGGTGCATGCCTGTAATCTCAGCTACTTGGCAAGCGAGGCAAGATGAATGCTTGAATCAGGGAGGCAGAGGTTGCAGTGAGCCAAGATCATCCCACTGCACTCTAGCCTGGGCAGCAAAGCAAGACTCCATCTCAAAATAAATAAATAATAAGATATTTTTAATTCTACTCACCCATCCCTTGTATCATTGCTGTCCTTCATTTCACATATACATAACTATGATCATCAAATATACATTCTGACTTTTATTTATGTATATTTGTTTGTTTATTTATTTATTTATTTATTTATTTTTGAGACAGAGTCTCACTCTGTCGCCCAGGCTAGAGTACAATGGCGTGATCTCGGCTCATTGCAACCTCTGTCTCCCGGGTTCAAGCAATTATCCTGCCTCAGCCTCCCAAGTAGCTGGGATTACAGGCATGTGCCACCATGCCTGGCTAATGTTGTATTTTTAGTAGACACAGGGTTTCACCATGTTGGCCAGGCTGGTGTCGAACTCCTGACCTCAGGTGATCTGCCCACCTCGGCCTCCCAAAGTGCTGGGATTATAGGCATGAGCCACTGTGCCCAGCCAGCGTTCTTATTAAGCTAAAAGAATTTGATAACATCCATAGGTGCCCCTTAGAGACTTCCAGTTAGCTATACCCTATGAAGGACTGGCCCACAGCCCCAGAACCACCTGGAACCTGCCACACCCCAAATCAGCTGGAGAGTCCTGGACTTGGTCTCCCTGCAAGTCTCACCCTGAGCTTCTGATTGGCAGAGCCCCGTCACATGACTGCCCTTAGCAGCAGGGGAGCCTGGGAAGTGCAGTTTTCTAAGTCTCATTTTGGGGAAGGAGGGTTGTGAGGGACAAGAAAAATAAGAAAACGAGTTAATCAAAATCTGAAAACAGAAGTTATGCCATCTGTCACTCACATCACAGCCACAGCTTTCTCAAGGTTGAAAGTGTTTGGGGTTCCCGCAGCTTTTCCACTTTCTTGCTAATCACAAGACGAAGGCCTCAGTCTGCCGGCTTCACCACAGGGCCGAGGTGAGGTGAGACGCAGGGGTCCTCCCCATCAGGTCAGGCAGGGGCAGGCTGGGGCAGCCCTGGGGCTCCTGCATCACCCAGTGACCACCTGCCTTCTGTCTGTGCCCACGCCATCCCCAGCCCGAGCCTTAAAATGCCACAGCTGCACCGACCGTGAGAGCCACACCTGCCCTATCACACAGTGTGCAATGAATAAATGAAAGTCGATGTAATGAAACCTGAGAACTGCCATTCCCATTTCAAAACCCTGGCCCCACCGTTGTCCTCAGTCTCACACCATACCTCACTGCCACAGGACCCTGCCATCAAAGAGGCATAAACTAATTACCTACCAAACACCACTGCAGTGACAGTCTTCACAGTGAAATCTGAAAAATAAACAACTGAAAGAAATTAAGCTCTGTAGGCAGGAGGTAGGTACTGGATCCTACAAATTCCTAATAGTTCAACCCTACCCCCATCCCAGCCTGAGGAGCGGAACCCACACCAGCTCCATCCCATGCACAGCACCCTCCCCCACTGAGCCATGGAGCCCACCCTTCCCAGCCCCTCTGTGCCCCACAGCAGCAAGCACTCTTCCCGTTCCCGTGTTCCACCACATCCTCTCAACTGGAGCATTTCCACCGGCTGTAAACCTCTCCTATGTAAAAATGCATATTGTTGGGTGTGGTGGCTCATGCCTGTAATCCCAGCACTTTGGGAGGCTGAGGAGGGTGGACCACTTGAGATCAAGAATTCCAGGCCAGCTTGGACAAAATGGTGAAACCCTATCTCTACTAAAAATACAAAAATTAGCCAGGCATGGCGGCACATGCCTGTAATCCCAGCCACTTGGGAGGCTGAGGCAGGAGAATGGCTCGAACCTGGAAGGTGGAGGTTGCAGTAAGCCAAGATAGCGCCACTGCACTCCAGCCAGGGCAACAGAGCAAGACTTTGTCTCAAAAAATAAAGCATACATATAGACATGCATGCATACACATGGACATATTCATACACATACACGCATATATACATGAAAGCACACGGATACCTGCCTACACATATGCCCTGTGTGGACCCACATGTGTGCGTGTGTTTTGTGCATATATGCCTGTACACACACATGTGCATGCATGCGTACATAAGTTTATACATACATACTTCATGTGAGTAAGAACAAGCAAAAATCACGAACTTTCCTATGTGAATACCACCAATAACCCCTTAGAATAACTGTAAGCTCTCCTTCACAGGGCGAACAATGATAAACCATCCAGGGTAACTCAGTGTGCACTCCCTGCTAAAAAAGTTACACTTTACTGAAGAGCGCTTAAAACCTGAACGGAAATAGACAGACCATGCTTCCACATGAGAGGACCACTGTGGTAGAGGTGTCAATTCTCCCAGTAAAGTTTTTTTATTTTTTTGAGACAGGGTCTCGCTCAGTCACCCAGGCTGGAGTGCAGTGGCGTGAACACAGCTCACTGCAGCTTCGAACTCTTGGGCTCAAGTGATCCTCCCATCTCAGCCTTCTGACTGGCTGGGACCACAGATGTGGGCCACCATGACCAGCTAATTTCTTTCTTCCGTTTTTTTTTTTTTTTGTTTGTTTGTTTGTTTGTTTGAGACCGGGGTCTCCCTGTGTTGCCCAGGCTGGTCCCAAACTCCTGGGTTCAAGTGATCCTCCCACCTCAGCCTCCCAGAGTGCTAGGATTACAGCCATGAGCCACCACAGCTGGCCAAATCAATAAACTCCAAATATCCTCCCAACAGGAGTTATGTGTGTAACATGAATCTGGAAGATTAAATGTGCAGCAAAGGCAGAAGTATGAAAGTACAAGAAAAACCAAGAGCTTACGCCAGCAGATCTCAGACCTTTCATACAGCTGGAGATGCACACATTACAGTACTGGCAAGGAGACGAACAAACACATCAGAGGATCAGAATGCAAAGGGGTGTGTGTGTGTGTGTGTCTGTGTATGTGTGTGTGTGTATATGTGTGTGTGTGTGTTTGTGCACATGTGTCTGTGAGTGCATGTGTGCATGTGTATGTGGGGGGGTGTGTGCACGTGTGTCTGTGTGTGTCTGTGTGTGTGTGTATGTGTGTGTCTGTGTGTGTGCGTGTGTGTCTGTGTGTTTGTGCACATGTGTCTGTGAGTGCATGTGTGCATGTGTATGTGGGGGGGTGTGTGCACGTGTGTCTGTGTGTGGGTGGGTGTGTCTGTGTACGTGTCTGTGTGTGTGCATGTGTGTCTGCATGTCTGTGTGTATGCATGTGTATGTGTGTGTGCATGTGTGTATGTGTGGGGGGTGCATGTGTGTGTGTCTGTGGGTGCATATGTGTATGTGTGTGTGTCTGAGTGTGTGTGCATGTGTCTGTGTGCATGTGTCTGTGTGCATGTGTGCGTGCAAGCATGTGTACATGCATGTGTGTGTGTGTGTGTGTGTGTGTCTGAATGTGTGCATGTGTTTGTGCCTGTGTGTGCCTGTGTCTGTGTCCGTGTGTGTCTGCGTGCGTGTCTGTGTGTGTGTCTATGTGTGTGTGTCTGTGTATGTCTGTGTCTGTGTGTCTGTGTCTGTGTGTGTCTGTGTGTGTGTGTCTGTGTGTGTGTGTCTGTGTCTGTGTGTGTCTGTGTGTATGTCTGTGTGTCTGTGTGTGTCTCTGTGTGTGTCTGTGTGTCTGTGTGTGTGTCTATGTGTGTGTGTCTGTGTATGTCTGTGTCTGTGTCTGTGTGTGTGTGTGTCTGTGTATGTCTGTGTGTGTGTGTCTGTGTCTGTGTCTGTGTGTGTCTGTGTGTGTGTGTCTGTGTCTGTGTGTGTGTGTGTATGTCTGTGTGTGTCTGTGTCTGTGTCTGTGTGTGTCTGTGTGTGTGTGTCTGTGTCTGTGTGTGTGTGTGTCTGTGTGTGTGTGTCTGTGTGTGTGTGTCTGTGTCTGTGTGTGTCTGTGTGTGTGTCTGTGTGTGTGTCTGTGTGTGTCTCTGTGTGTGTCTGTGTGTATGTGTGTGTGTCTGTGTGTCTGTGTGTGTGTCTCTGTGTGTGTGTGTCTACGTGTGTGAATTTAACACAGGCATCAGCA